AATGAAGAAGCTATTGATAATAATTCAACATTCCATGTAAACCAAAATTTACTTCCTTTTCCTAATTGACTTTCTACGTTAATTTCTCCACCATTAATTTTTACTAGGTTTTTACAAATTGAAAGGCCAAGTCCTGTGCCATCTTGCGTCTTAGTCATTGACATGTCACTTTGTGAATAACTTTTCCATGCATGTTTTATATATTCTGGGTCAATGCTATTATTATTAAATAATCATTAGCTTATAGGCTTAATATAAAAATATATAATATATAACATTGAATATACAGAACTATAGAGTATATTATTTTACCCAATACCAGTGTCATATAATTCAACCAATAAATTTCCTTTTTTAATGCTTTGACCGTTAGTCTGTTTATTTTTGTCTTCAATTATATCTTGCAATTGTATTGAAATTGTCACTACGATTTTACCTTTGTCGGTAAATTTAATTCTAAGAAATTAAGAATGATTAATAAATGTAATTAATTAGATTATGAAAAATAAAAATATATACGTAAAAAAAATAATAAATAGTTACGAATTTGATAATAAATTAGACAAAACTTTTTTCAGCCTATTTACAATAAGAGACAAAAAAAATGTAAGTAGTAATTCTTTTACCATTTAATATGAGAAATATATTAAATCTAATCACCTTTCAGGATCACTCTTAACACATCTAGGCAACCTATCTACCTCACAATTTACAATTAATTCAATTTTTTTACATCCAGCTTTTTTTCCAAATGACTCAATCGTACTCTCAAATAATTCTAATAAATCAAATGTTGTATTCATTAAAGTGACCATTTGTGCTTCTAATTTTGCTGCATCAAGAATGTCATTTATCACAGATAAAACTATATCAGAAGAGCGTGCCATGATATCAATCATATCTTTTTGATCACTGGTTAAGTTAGTACTATCGAAGGAAGAGAGAATGCCCACTATCGCTCCTAGTGGTGTTCGTAATTCTATTACATGTAAAAATGGGATAAGAATAGAATAAGAATGGAGTAAAAATGGAATAAGGATGTAATAAGAATAAGAATTAAAATTAATTAACAAGATGAGAATAATATACCATGAGAAGTATTTGCTAATATTTGACTCTTTGCCTTATTTGCAGCTTCAGCGGCCTTTATTTTAATTTCATTTGCAGCATTCTCTTCTAACATGTTTGCATAAGTAATACCTAAACTTATTTGATTCGATATTTGATGTAATAATTCTATTTCAGAATCAAGCCAAATAGAATTTGGAGATCTATGTACTTTTATCCATCCCCAACAAATGTTATTCAGCCTTATTTCTGCAGATAATAATGATACATTTTTACCAACATTATCACAATATACATCTAAAAAGGTATCTATTACTGAATTATTATCCAATGATTTTTGTAAATTTGTTGATGTATGCGATTTATTTTTAATGCCATCGTTAAATTTAGTTGATTGATTAGTCATCGATGTTTTATTTTTCGGGTCTTCATATAAAGCAACTATTTTATTATTTTTAAATCCAGATTGGTCATTTGTGACAATAAATATTCTTTCACTTGGCAAGC